TGCACCTTCTTTTCACCTCAACAGCTTTAAATTAAAACAGCAACCTGAAAGGAGGAACATGCAGACAGAGAACTTCATTACCAAAGTTGCCCACTCTTCGCTGGTGCTGACAGCTTTGCTGGGCAATCTTTTGGTTTGTCTTACCATCCTGAAAAACAGGATATTAAGGACACCAGTGAATTATCTTCTAATGAATCTCGCCATAAGTGATATGATAATCGTGATAGCTTTCACTCCTAGACATATACTCGAAGGACTATACCATCATCCTCGAGGTTTGCAAGGAACCATCTTATGTAAAACAATCACTTCTGATACATTCACCTGGGTTGGAGCGGTGTCTTCAGCGACAACGTTGGTAGTATTAGCGTACGAGCGATACGCTGCCATTACTTTTCCTCTTGGAACACGATCAAAGCTAAGCCGCAGAAAACTAAAGATTTTCGTTGGCCTCGGTTGGTTTCTTTCCGCTATCTTCAACATCCCACTGTTTTACGTCAGAAGCCTCAATCAACAGCGTGGAATTTGCGAAAGCCATTGGCCAAATGTGATATTTGCAAAAAGTTACAATATCGCTTGGTTAATTTTGATTGGAATAGCACCGTTCTGCTTTATGGCATTTTTCTACGGGAAAGTTATACTGCATTTAAGAAGAGAGATATTACCGAGGCAACATAGATCATTAGCCACGAGGAAATCGAGACAGAAAGTCACCAAAATGCTTTTGACAATAACAATAATCTACGGAATTTGCTGGATTCCAAACCTGATTCTTTATGTTGTGTGGTACTATGTATTAGAAGCAGAAATAATGTATACGATAAATAAGGTTCTTCTTTTTTTGATATTAATAAATTCGTGTACAAATCCCTTTGTTTATTCCGCACAGAGTCGAATATTTCGAAGAAGCATGAAAAACATCGTATGCCCGTGCAAGAATTGGTCAGAAAATCGAATGAATATTTCCTTGCCTTTAACAAGGTCACTGAAGACCTTAGAGAACGTGCAGTTGAAAGGCTTTGCGCCCCTAGATAGCCATGCAAAGAAAGTAGAATTTCAAAACTTAGGATGGCAATCTTGGAGAAATTTTTAAGTTGAGTCTCGGAGCTAATTTATTACTTCGATCGTGGTATACTAAACTTAGTGGTTTGTTACCAAAGGCGTGAAAATATATAATATAAAATTCAGGACTGGGGAACGAAGAAAGTAATTTAAGCAATCAGACATTAACTGCTTTATACCCACTGTTTATTCAATTCTTCATTAATTTTCTCACTTCATAAACGCTGATTCACTAATGTATATCTGCTAAAATGTGTTGACTATGGATACGAACGGGTCAAATTAGTTATGTTATTTGGAATCCGGTTAACTGTATTAGTGGTCATTAGATGTAGAAAAATCATTCTGCGCAAAAGTCGATAAAAGAAGCGTAAAGAAGCTCTTGAACATACATTAGTGAAACAAGGGCTACTAAGTTAACAGTTTCTCTTTTGTATCAATTTTAAAGCTAGTTCATTTTAAACCTCTTGAAATGTCTTAAGATTTTCGCCAGAAAATAATATTAGTTTAGTCCATCATGAGATAGCAAGTTAGACCAGATGAATTAGGGATAATTACAGTGCTTATGCAAATATATATCCATAAATTGATTGATTAACACTTTCTTTGCCTATTGATGTATTTGCCCAATTGCCCACTAAAAGGACTGTGTGAAGAGTTTCAAAATTTACTTCTGAATTAGACTCATAGCCCCTCCTGGATTATAAATACTTCCCTCGATTACAATCTTCCTCTGCTTGCTGCAAACCTCCTCCACAGAAATCGCTTCACCACCGTTTTCTTGAGAGCAGTTAGAGGGAGTAGTGCGGTAGTTTAAAACTTTTTTCTTTATCAATACCGGCGCCCAATAAACTTGAAAAGTTTTGTCACCGCTGGTGCCAGTTTTCCTGAAACTGTCTCTGTAAACGCTTTTACCAAATCTTGATTGTAAGTAAGTGTTAAAAACTTTGCTCGAGCTGGTATAAGCTGACTTGACGCGCAAATCAGCTTTCTTAATTGCTGGCAGTGCATCTTCGTACCAGTCTCCATGGTGACGTTCTTTCTTGCCGTCGATTACAATACCGGGAATTGGTTTTCTTGCAAGATTATCAATGTTGTTATTTATGATTCTTTTTGGGTGAGTTTTTGGCAATTTTTGATTTTTATCATGGGCATCTGGTGAAATACCCATCCTTCTCGCGGATCCAAGCTTTTTACCCTCCACGAAGAGCGCTTTAATTGGGTGCTCGCCGTTGATTGACAATGCTTGTAGATCGGGAATGCAAGGAAGTCGAAACTTTTGTTTTGTTACTTTCGCCCGCTTGTAGGAACAATTCGGTGCCGAACTTGAACGCTTTAACATAAACATTTCGCTCTCGATCTTTCCGGTCTTTCCATCTCCCTTGCCTATCGCAATAAGCGACGAAGAGTTCGCTGATACTGGCGAAATCATCATAGACTTTCCCTTACTTCTTTCCTTTGTCGGAAATCGCCAGTCATTACTTCCTGTCACTGGCTTATAACTTTCTTCTTCTTGCTTGATTTCCTTGTCATTATTTGCTTTTGCTTTTAAATCTTTCGAGCTAAAATTTCCTTCTTCATGTTCGATTCCGTGCGGTTGAGTTGTTTTGTCTTCTAAACACTCTTTAGAATCCAGATAAACTGTTTTGACTGACAAGAAACTCATTAAAACGGCGTCCTGCCAAAATAAATACATACAATTTTGGATTTGCGGTTAAGCGGCTTCTAACTGCAGCCAGTTGAATATGACAAACGTTATGTCTCAGACGAAAAGAGTACTTGATTATTTTGCTTTGAATAAAGTGACATTTATTTTAATTTTTCAAAAAAATAAAAAGAAAAGAAAAACAAATGGGAAGTATAAACTTTAATTTTAAAGTAGATTTTAGGCCAGTAAAGTGCATTCGATTTTTTTTTATTTCGTAAATGCATTGATATATAGATGTTCTTGGTTAGGACAAGCATTTGGTATTTGTCCAGAAAAGAAAAATTGTGAATATATATATTTTCTTTTGCACTCAATTATCATTTTGTAGAAGAGCAGTTTCAAAATGTATTTTGTTTTTCCGTGGAATATTATGGAAAATTATTCATGTATCTATCTTGACATTTCTCAGCTGGGAAGACTTCTGAGCATAAAATCCTGGCTGCGTGCAATTGATTTCAGTGAGTATTATACATTAGTTTACCTTCGAAATGATATTCTTGAAATCTTCAATACCAACAATATTAAAGACTGTTTCTCTTCCGCTCTTGTACGCTTGAGAAAGACACTCGAGGCGAGACTTAACTGGGATTACCCATGGCTACAAAAATTATTCTGAGGAACTACCTTACGATTTTTCGAGCAATCCTTTTATAATGTGTTGACGGCAATGTTGAGATCTTCGTGGCTACATTTAAGTACAAACACTGACCGTCGTCCAGCAAACCAAATGAGCATTTATCCAGGTGTATCTCATTAAGTTCATTAAAATTGTTTTTCCATATGAATACAACTATCGTCACTTCCAAATGAAGTATCACCAAAATTAAACTTCCTCTCATTATTTCTACGAATTTCTAATACACACAGGAATGGCAGGAATTAGTTTAAATTTGAAAATTGCTTTTTAACTTCCCTTACGCGAAAATTTAGAGGGTAAAGGAGGTTATTTCAAACGCACTGATCATATAAGAGCTCTATTAACTTCATTTTGTCCTCAGAGGGTTAGAGAAAGCCTTTTGAAATAACCTCGTTACTAGAGTTTCCATTTTAAAGTTTAAACTGGCAGGTGGTGTTGCTTTTAATTTTATTGGCTACGAACTTATGAAGTGGGGGACGTAGTTAGTATTAGACAATAAACAAGTACTTTAGGCGGGGAAATGTTCATGTTGAGTGACAGAACGGCAAACTTCAAAGTGGAATCAAATTGGCAAAACACAAATGCATTCAGTATCATTTGTTTGCCCTGGGCGGTGTTTTCTATTAAACTTCGACAAAAAAAAATCAAAAGACAGATACCTTTCTTTGAGCTAAATACATCGATTTTTAGGATCAAAAACAGTGGTGAATTGAAGGATAATTTATCGTTAGATTGCTTGTAATTCCTTTTCGAGAGTCCGCCCTAATGTGGAATAAAAAAATTTAACAGTAGAAATAAGTATAAACAGAAATAATTGACATTCGTTCCGAAGTAACCTGGCAAAAATGACAATTCCAAAACCAAATATTCTGAATTACTTTTGTATGGTGTAATTTACGAATAATTTTTTTCGCTCTGAACTTCATTTAGATTTAAATGACGTAAGGAATATTTTCTTTTAACAATGTTCGGGCGACCTTTGAAACAACTTGAATAAATGAAAATTCATGTATGTGTGAGTGGCAAACAAAAACGACATACGATATGATTTCTGCCTCATATTTGAGATGACATGAAATATATCAATATGTTTCATGCCCTCATACATTACATTTAGCTTTAAAAGTACATGTATCTCACAGAAATTATGTACTCATAACACTTACTACCAAATCTCTATGGTTTATATAAATTTGGTGAAATCAGTAAGATTAGGAAAGATATATTTTATTATGGTTTTATCAACTTCAATTAAGACTGAAAAACAGCGCAATGCTCTAAATAAACAAGAGGGGAAATTTTAGGAACAACGCTGCAAGAGGAAATGAAAATGCTTTAAACAATGTAACTGATATCATAAACCAAGTGTTATATTTTCTTATTTTAAATTTTTTTTTCGTTTCAATTACTGAAATTATTATTTTTGGAATGGTGAGTCCAAATATCATTTTTCTTATGTTGAAATATTGTTATACAAATATGATGGTAACCACGTCTTATAACTACAAAAAAAATTAATAATCTATCAAAATAATGAAAAAGATAAAGCGGTATGGCTCTGGTTGATTAATACATTTTTTTCGCTTGTTGACTTTTCAAGAATTTCAAAGAACGCACACTTCATAAAATCGGATTTGTTTAGCTGGTAAGAAGCTTCTAATAGCTACTGTTTCAACGTTATTTTATCATGGGTCCATCGAAGCATAGTTTACAACGTATGTAGTTCATTCTTTTCCTTGCTGTAAGAGAGAGGCGGGAAATTGATCCCAAAGCCAGTCTCGCCCTTGTGTTCGCGTCTGCGCAAGAATGGCTCGACCCACTTCTTCTTCTTTTAAAAATCTTCAGAGATTCTAATAAAGTTTTAGTGAAGGTAGAAGCAGCCTTTCAAAATCTGTACGCGGATAAACAAATGAATATGTGAATGAATGTTTTGAGTGAAGGCCAGTAATATTTTGTGGATGAAAGCGGCCAAAAGATATTGTCAAACACCTAATCATCATGAAAACTTGAAAATGCAAGCCAAAAAGGATATGTTGAAGTCAAAGAGACAATATGGTCCTTCAACTTTGGCGTACTCGGGGGCAAACTGCTTGAACATAACTTCCTGAGATTTTAAAGTTTGCTGGTTCTCCTCCAGCAATAAATAAGGAAAAAAAATCCCAAACTTTCAGTACCAGTTTTTAAATTTTTCCTCATTCATCGCTATCATTTTGCAACATTGGCAACTTTATCATTTAAAATGTTCGTCTCGCACCTTGTTCTCTACAAAAACCGGTATTCTCTTCGTCTGCAAAAGTAAGTATTCCCGTTACTTCTTCCTCGGTAATTTTTTGCCCGTACAATGTGCTCAGAGCATCATGTATTTCACAGAGAGCCACACGACCCTTCTGTTCCGGGTCGAACACGCTGTAAACAGAATGCACTTCATTTAACTCCTTCTGCTCTGCTGTGACTTCTTCCAGTAACTGTATCACTTCATGCAGGGTTATCATTCGCTTGTCTGAAACGACATCGAAAATGCAGATCTTGAATAAGTTAGTGAAGTAAATACATCAGATCTTGTAACTTCGATGAGAATGTACTTATCGCAGATAGATACCTTTCTCGACTGTGGCATAAAAATTTGAATAACAAATTAACATCCTATGTGTGTGACGTTAATTGTTTTCAGCTCAGCGTTGTTTGAACATTCCAATGGAAGTGCATCACATTTTGTCCAATTCCTTGAGATATCAAATAGGATATCTCAGTGTTAAAGGAATGTTATCAATAGACAGTATAACTTTTTTTACGTCTTTTTTTCGAAAATCACGTGACAAACCTGATAATTCCAATTTATTCATGTAGTACCAAGCTTGTTCTTTGTGAACGTTGTAGCCTAAGTCTCGGAGTAGCGGAAAAAAGTGTTTACAATGAATCACACCAGAACCATTCGCGTCAAACATAGAGAACGCTTCTTCGAAGACTGCAAGAACAAAAACAAATAAATGAACATAAGTTTACAGTACTCAAACTATAACTACTGTTTCTTTTTGCGATAAGATTATAGTTAGACAACAAAGATATTGGAGATGGTCATCACTATCTCATTTTTTTTTTTTGACAGGAGATATAACGCAAAAACAGACCAGTACGTTACTTTAGTGAATGCGTTGATGCATTAGAGTTAATTAGAGAGTAATGCATGGGCGCAAGTAGCTTTGGAATTTCTATTCGAGTTTTCAAGTCGATATTTCACGAGTACACACGGTGAACAAATGAAATATCGAGTTGAACACGAGCAACGTATATCATATTAACATTATAGGCCTTTACTGACATGTTTGTGATTCATTCATCAACTCAGCAAAGTGGCGCAAAAGGCGATTAACGAGTTAGTAGCTGATTGGCGATATTTAAACTACTAAAAATCATCGTAATTTTACTTTCGTACATTTACGGATCCTCACACCTGTAAATCATTGTCAAGCAATTTAGTTTTTTATTTCTTTTTAGTTACAATAATCATGATAAAAATAATAAAAATAACAATAATGATGATTATAATAAATGATTGTACCGACCACCTCTGTCATAAAAAAAACAGTGCATTTAGGATGAATTATACTAAGGATAAGAAGATTTCGATTTGTTGTAACAAAGAGTAGAATGCATTCTCTAATCAGGTACCTTCTTTTGGGCATTTCTCTCGGGCGCGGGGAAAAAAATCTCCTACCTTCCACCTGTTCCTTATTGAATACAAATGGCTTTTCTCTATCTTCATCGTCGCAGTACATTGAAAATGCTTCGTTGACCCTTTGCTGAAAGATATTACAGGTCGTCTGAATGAAAATTGCCGTCAACATGGGCCATTTACTGCGCGAAAGCTTTTATGAATGTAGATGTTTTTAGATCCTTCCTTTTCTTAAATCAACGTTCTTGTACATTTTCCACCATGAAGTCTACTATCACTTATGACGATTTATACATGGGCGGATACGTACTTTATTCTCACCGAGAACCGAAAAAAAAATTCGCTGATTATTTTGCCATTCTTAAAAAAGTCTGAAGTTGGTGCTAGGTTAAGATAGCAGCTTTACCATATAATTACATTGGTACTGTATGATTTTTCAATTATCACTAAACGTTTCCCGGAACCTTGTTCTCTTTTATTTTTTAAACTTAGTCCGTATTTCAGATAGTTTAAGAAGTTACATGCCAATCAATCCTGGGTGTGTAACGTTTACAACATACCTCTCTAAGTTGGGCTCTCTTGACTGAGATTGTCAAATGACCCTCTGCTCGCTTCATAGCATGCATCGCTTCCATTGCGTACTTTACAGATACTTTTCCCAGGTAAACATCGTTGATCTAAATGGAAAAGGATTACTTTTCTGTTTTTTTTCCCTTTTTTTCATAATTATTATTTTCCCTATTTCATATTTATCTTTTCTTTTCTTTGTTTTTCTGTCTTTGTTTTTTTTTCTTTCTTTCTTTCTTTCTTTATTAAGCGGACTGAAAAGAGTTTCGCACTACCGCTATTATCTTGTCTCCAGGGAACAGTTTTCCTTCAGCGACACTGCCCCACTTAACATTCTCTACAAATATTCCTGGTTCGCCATTTCTGGTAACGTTAGGCCCACCAGTTAACTGGATTCCAAGCTTGGCTGGTGTTTCGCTCGACACCCCTGAAGAAAAAACGGAGTATTTTCGGTCAAATGGAATAACATGCTCAAGAATTAAAAAACCTAGTTTCAACAACTTTTCATTTCAAACTTTCTCAATGATCGCCAGAAAGATCATATCTTCGCAGCAATCTGATATCTTGTTGATAGCTTATTAAAGAGCCTCTTAAGGTTTTTTGATTCTTCGGTAGAGAGTACCGTATGAAACAGTTGCAATAGTGACTTGCTTGTAACTCAGTAACGAGCTCAGAGACCCAATTCTTCATTACGAAGGATAGAGAAAGGTGTCGTTTAAGTGTCGTTTAATCCTCGAACTCGTTATTAAATTAGTAGCACGTAAAGATGAAATCAAGTTCTTTGAAGAAGCTGTATTTCTGCTATGGTGAGACAAGAGATTATCTCCTGCATAACATGATATATAAAAGAAAATTTTAAAAAAAATAGGTTTAATTAGGCATTTCCTTTTTCTGAGATGTATGACAATCGCATGACTAGTGTTTCAATACAACAAAACAATTTGTATCCGTTATATCGCTGCTTGCTTTGGTTGGAAAATATATATATGACATTCTTTACTTCGTTCCCCAATAGCTATTTCCATGAAAGGAACTGAGAAATTTCGATTTAAAGGGCAATGGTACATGTGCGAAAAGCATCGATTCGTTAAGAATTGACAAAGAATTGAAGCTCCTAATAGGAAAAAAAAGGAGTTTTTATGTTTCAAAACCATTTCTTTCACTGACCTAACAATTCCACGCTTTCAATATCTGCCTGCTGGTAGCTCTGATAGCCTCTTACGTCTCCGACAACTTTCTTTACGACTTGGAGGTCAATTGTTGTCTGTATAAATACATAGATCATAAAGGATGAAAACGAAACTGTAGAAAGAAAATCAGGTTCATTTCATTTTTCTGTGTTTCCATGGGTTTGTGCAATTTTTCCTATTCCTAGTGTTTTCTCTTTGTTTGTTTGTCTTTTTGATTATTTGATTATCTATTTTTTTATGGGGGAGAGAGAGTGGAATTTGTTGTTATTGTCCTTGTTCTAGATTTGTTTATTCATTTATTTATTTTTTTTTTTTTCATTGTTTTCGGTTTGGTATGTTTTGTTGTTTTCTTTCTTTGAAGAGTTTTAAACTGGTGAATACCACAAGCGGCAAAATTTAGGTAATCTATTACGCCTATTCATCCTCGAGTCTCCCAATTCCGTGGAATGCCCCCAAACGTTGGTGTAAGGCCTTCCTTACTGGAAAATCAAGTTTTTTTGTCAACCAGCATTGTGTTTGATTTACAAACCTTCAAAGGCTTAACTTTCTTACCGTACGATGCGTTTCGTCGTGCTTCCTTGCATTTGAATACTTTTTGCAAATTCTCACAATGGTCAAAACAAACGCACTGATCCACACCAATAAAATGAACCCGATGAAACCAAAAAACAGGGCGTATGAGGCTACCACGTGTGGGTTCTTCAATGATCGTGAAGCGTCAACTGTATGGCCCGTAAGTTTGGCGAACCAAATTCCCATGGTGATATCCTCGTTTTCTAAAATACAATTTTGAGTCGTATTGTGAATCCTTTTCATGAAAAAATCCCTCATCCTTTAAGAACAAACTTTCAGTCGGGTTATAATCGAGAGAAAGTTCACGGTCAGTCAAACCATTTAAAAAAAATTTACACCAATTAATTGCAAAAAATCAATTAACACCTTAACGCCTCTTATAGAGAGGAAAAATCAATAACTATAATGTATTCAAATTAAAATTTTTAGGTTGAAGTAGAGCCCTCGCATTCAAGTAAGCCTTAAGCTGAAAGGTATATATAATTGTAGTAATATATGATAAGGAAAACAAAACATTGTTACAAGTAGCCGAATTCTTCTTCAAAACCTGTCTCTGCAATCCATCTAATTGACATTTATGAGTGTCTCGTAATTGTTATTTTTCTTTCTTTTCCTTCCGTTTTTTTATTATTATTATTAAGTACCTTGTGTATGGAATTTTCCGTCAAAATATGGCAATCTCTTCAACGGAAAATCTCTCTCTACAAAAGCGTGATTAGAAGGAAAGTCGGTGTGTCGACATCACCCGCTTCCCGCCACCAAAATTGGTATTTAGCAACTATCGTGTTTCAGTCATCCTTTTGCTGCGAAGTGACTCGTTTCGTCGTTGGTCAGCCTGAGAATGTCGTCAGTTGCTCGACTTTCCGTCAGAAAGAAAATTTTGCGCAATTCAAATTGCACGCTGTTAAGCGGGAGAAGTATAACGTCACAGGGATAAAAATATCTTGCATATGATTGGTGGTTTAGTTCGTAAGCCATTTCAAATCAATGTCATGGTTCTGTATCTAAGTAACGCTTGTACTTTGCAAAAATGAACCCATTTAAAAGCATAATTAATGGCTTTAGCTAAACAGACAACGAGAGATAACAGGGTATTGCTGGCTAGAGATATCTTTGTTGAATAAATTCATTTAAAAAGAAAAAAAAAAGAGAAATAAGAAAATGAAAATGTAAAAGATAATTTGCCACAAAGGAAAGTTGAATTAAAACAACATTTGCCGAAAAGAAAAGTGAGTTTTGGAAATAATGATGAAATTAATTTCACTAAAATTAGATTTTAATTATTTCTTTACATTTTGCATCTTTTTCCTTTCTTGACACAGAGATAATTCATATTGATAAAGAAGAGGACTTCTACCTGAAAATCCTCGCAAGCTATCGCAAGTTAACAGACTGATCAAACGTGTAAATGAATATTACCAGTTTAGAAATTCAATTTTAGACTAAATTATTAGCTATATTTATCATCACAAAATCACAGGCAATGTACTAAATTACAGCACTTTCGTGTACATGTAAATGCTGGATAATGTTTAAAATACAAAATAATCACTTGCTAACAAGTCGCACCAAAACGACGGTTGCCAAAGGCAACACTTAAGGGAAAATACTTCAGAGGGCACAACTTTTCTAAAGGAACACACGTAATTTTACGTGTATTGTTACTACAAACAAATTCAACGAAAGTTACCGATTATTTGTACTCAGAATTTCAGATTTCTACTTGAGAAAGTCTCTCCTGAATTTAGTTGACAATAACGATTTTTTTTTCTTTTCCGCCCGTCCGAGTTAATTTACCTTTTTTCCTTACCCGAAGTACTGCTTTCTTTATAAAAATGAAATGTAACTGGCAATTAATAGATGCAGCCAGTCCGTCGTGTTCTCTTTGCGGTAGAAACTGGGCCTTATTGTAGGCTGTGATGTCACCGAGAGCTGAGAGCTACTCGCCTATTTGGACCCAAGCTTCGCGCGGACAACGACACTGAAGAGAAAATCAAGGGGCAGTGACTAGATCTATTCTATTTTGTGGTCTGCCTTAAAAGGCTCTGCTCGCATAATGATGGTGAGAAGGATTGTTGAAATCAAAAGCTCAAGACTCAACAATGCAATGAACAAATTTTTCTCAATCTGATCAAAAACAAGCAAGCAAAAAAACGTCGGAACATTTAAAAGGATTCGGCTACAAACAAAGGCAGAGACAACACGCAGGTTCCCATTGCTTGCAGCAATCATGTAGTGCAATCCATGGGCTGATCTCACAAAGAAATACGAAGCCAGAAACCCTTGCGAAAACCCACTGAATTTATCTAGCTGGAATATTATCGCAGCAAAATCAGGCCTTATAACTAAAAGCGACCAGAAACAGAATTGAACGACTCCCAGAACAAAAACAGTAGCAACCAGCCCTTCAGTCTTAGCCATTTCAAACCGTTTTATGTCCAAGGTGACTTCTTGTAAAAACTTGCTTACAGAGGCATCCTTCGTCTCCTGGCTCCAAATAACCACTATGGCCAATGCAAATATGGAATTGGGTACCATCCAAAACAAGGAGAGTCTAAACGGGAGCAAGCCTTTCTCGACCAACATTAACGATATGAAATTTGCCCAAACCAGACGGTCGACCACTGAGGTCAGAATGGTCGCATAGCGAGACCCTCTGCAATATGAGCGCGCTGAAATGATAAAGATGAAGCCAATTTCGATCACTGCGAGCCCTAGTAAGCGGAGGTAGCCATCAGAGTGGCCCACCAAGTCCAGCGTGAAAACGATGCCCACAATCTTCGGTGATAGGAGAAATGTTGCTCCTCCTAAGCAGTAAAACATAAGACAAGACCGCTGAACAAACTTTTCGGTCCTTGTCATCTGCTTGGTAAGAGGAACGGAGAAAATATACTTGAAGTCCATCACGACGCTACGCTGATCTTCTCCTTTAATAGGCTGTGAAGATAACGATAAGGAACGCAGCATAAGTGATTGGGGCCATGCTAACATAAATGCAATAGTGCAGTCAAAATAATCAGAAACTAAACCTGATAAATGTTCAAAGGAGAGAAGTCCCAGAGGCCCCGTTGTATGGAGCCAAATTCTTTTGGCGACTTGTCCCTTACTTCGAGATTTTAGGCTAAGTTTAACAACGCCATATAGTCTTCAGGCTCATTATCATTATAGGAAAATATTATCAAACTATCTAATAATTGAGGAGTATTGAATGTTGTCTTCAGGACCCGTGAGTAATGCTAAAGAGCAAGTGTTGTTGGCACGAAGATCTATTGTTGATTGACATTCTAATGACCACCTGCGAATGAAAGATATTTTTTTCCGTGTTTCGTTGCATGTCCCTGCTACGCGTGATTTACGCGTGACAAATGCCTGCACAGTAGGTGATAGCGGCTTGTTTGCTTGATATTTCGAGAAGCTATCAAGTTTAAACATTGTGCTCGCTCAATTAAAAGATCTGTTCCCATAACTGCAGCCTCTCTTGAGATATCCGGTAATTCCTCTCAGGATAGGCTCTGAGACTGAGAAATGACTTTCAACCGCAATACTCCGAAAAGTGTATCTCCGTTACCATCCTGTAAAACACTGTTAAAGTAATCTGACGTGTTTAGGCACAACCCTCCTGACTTCCCCAACAAGAATAAACAAGCAAATTAAGTCTAGATGATAAATGATTAAAATGGATCAGTGAGCTGGTAAGACTGAAAGGATATTATTGAAGAGTAGAGTTCACCGCCTTTGAAGCTTGCCCCCTTGCTATAAATAAGATTAATTCGACAAGACGGTTTCAAATTTTCCTTGATCTGAGATATTTATCGCTTAATTGATTTATTACCAGCGCAACAAGTGCTATGGCTTTTCAGAGGTTCGTGCGTTTGTTTTCTTGACTATTCACCTGAGACTTGCATATAATTGACCTATGAAAATATTTCATTTACGTCCAGGTTATTCATTAAAGCAATATCGGTCTGAGAATTATTCAACAGTGGCGTTATAAAGACCTCCTTCAGTGGTAGAAATTTTTTGTATTTTCGCACTACAATATCGAAATAGACTCCACGGAGTGCAAATGGATTCATCAGCTTAGAATAAGCTCATCTTTCCTCTTGATCCACTCTTATCGTATTATCAAGGTGCCGCTTATCATAACGCTATCATTCCGTCTAATTATTACTAGCTTCTTAGCGATTTGGAATTAGATATTTGCTGATCGAAATAACCTCGCTTTACATATCCCAGCCGCTCTCTACAAGGCTTATTGTAAGGGGCAATAACTATTTCATCAACTTCAAAACGAACAAAATGTAAATATGATATCGACTAGCTATGGATCTATTTGTTGCGGGTTAAACCAACAAGAGAGTTTAAACTCACCGAACTTTAAGTAGAATCTTTTCAATCCGCGAAATATTTGCTTCCGAGTATCACAGAAAGCACATCGAGCCAGACGCCAGTATTCCCTCTATATATAGCGCACCCAAATGTCATGAAGTGGCATTAAGAGTAGATCACTTTTATTTTGACTGTCACGCCTGAGATGTTTGGCAATGAATCAGCAATTGCCCCAGGGTATATTGGGCATCTTGCATGGGTAAGTTGTAGCCCATTAACGGACTGGTTTGAAGTCACAAATTTTAAAAGAATTTTTTTTATTATTTATTTATTTAAATTCACCATGGGTAGGGTTAAAGAATTATTTCTCAGCTCTTTTCTGGTGAACTCAAATACTCTGATAAACAGAAATGAAAAAACGGATCACTCCTTGAGCAGCGGGAAACTCCGCATAAAAATTTAAGGCCTTAGAACTCACACCCAACCAGTTCATCATCTCCGAACTGATTCATTGCATTACAAGAATACTTTTTCCACTTCGACTCCTTCCATGTGGCGATCAGAGAAGCGTATAAGCTGCTTAGAGTTTTCTATAAGGGTTCAACTGCTGTGTCCTCCTGGAAAGAAGCTGATTTTTAGAGTAGCTGCCATGAAAACTACTGTACATCATCTGTGAGAGAGCTGGCTGCTGGGATCGCTGCGCACTGAAATCTGAACGGACTTGTTATAGATCTTGCAAGGTAATAAATGGTAAAATAAAAATAGCAGCATTGGTTGTTTTTTACAAACCGGCACATTTCCATTATTCTCACAGAAATTTTCTCACGGCACAAAGAGGCCGAGCACGATTTGATTTGCAACTATTCACTGACTTCTTGTCCTAAGTCACGCCACACTTTCCATGAAGAAAACCTTGTACCTTAAATTGAGAACATCAATAAGAGAATGTCGATTTCAAAATTTTCTTGACATCAGATCTACGGCATGCGAATTATTCAATCAAAATATATGTTCCTCCTGTTCCCGGGAATTCTAACTTTAGGGCAGCTATGGAGCGACTTCCTTCTGGCCAACGACCTCATTATTTTTCAAACTTATCACGTAAATGTTTATGACGTACTTCTCATAGAATCGTTTCGGGTAAAGTTTGAGGTCAATTTTCGCGCAAAACTTGCAGTGTATTCGGCATAAGAAAAGTTCGCCGTTTGGCCCGGGCCTTTCAAAAGATGTAAGGAACGCTTTTTAATTTGTTCTGAAACCAAATAGGCTTTGATTTGTTCTATAAAATTAAAGAAGAGGACTTAGACGCGCTTTTTTCAGTTACACAGGGATTTAAGCAGAGATGAAGATGACTAGGAATTAGGACTATGACCTTTCCGTTCCACTTTTTAAAACTTTAGCAACGTTTACGTTTACGTGGGAAATCGCCATTCAGTTTTTGTAAATAGGCACATCAAATAGTGTGCTGTAACTAAAAAGATTTTTTAGTAAACTAGTTTGGCTCAAGATCGAACATTCAACTTTCACTTTTAATTCGTCATTCAACTCAAGTTAAGATGTCACAAGTTATATAACCTACTACCTTAGTTTTATTTCGGTTTGTTCAATCTTCTTTTTCTAATTTTTTCAATATTATGCGATCGGTCACCGTACCCTTAATTTCAACGTCGTATTCAAAGACTTTATTAAATACACACCGAAGGCAACTAACTTTCCTTCTTTGACACCAGTGGACTCCCGAATGGTTTAATCTAGCAATAGATATATAGAAAGCTTCAGATAGTGCACATTTTTTACAGTGTGTGTATACTGACAACTGTGTTTTGGTAAATTTAAGTCTAAAATAAATAACTATAGAGAATTTTTTTTGTTTTCACCTTTTAAATATGCAGAAAACCCAAGATATCATCAACCAAAAAAGTAGATCCAGCGTGCCTCTGATTTGTTAAGATGACCTCAGTGATAGGTATCACGTGGATTCTTAGGATTGCCACAGACTTGAAAGCTTTTTCCTTTCTGTAGTATCCGTATGTTGTTTTAAATAGTCTTCAACAAGGTACGGTAAATTTATCGTTTAAGTTAGAAATAGTTCTCTTATTAATAAAACGGGAAAACATGATGCTAGGTATAAGTGATCATTTTTAATAGAAGTAATTATGATAAATAAAAAAAAAAACTCGCTCCCCTCCCAGTCACCCTTACTCAATCAAGAAATGCCCTCTGAAACCTAATCTTGAATGGATTGATCTTCAATCACCTTTCAAAATATCGAATAAAAACCACTAAAACTCAAAGTAAAATGTTAATACGCCATGGTATAACCCCATCTTAGTGTGTTTCCTTGAAATTCATGTTACGCAGGTGTCAAACCTCAGAGTAGGGCTCCCTGACTTCATAACTGTCTTCTGTAGGCTTTTTTATTTTCCTGTGCTATGCTGCTAGTGGAGATTAAAGCCCTGCAATCATGCAAAAGCAGATTTCCTGCGATTCCCAGTATCCACTTACCGACAAGCGAAAGCACTTGCAATATGGCTAACAGTCCGGGAGCTCAAGAAACGCACTTTTAGGTAAAAGACGACCAATGATTATTCGGAGATATTTTTGTCTGTTGTGCAAGACGCTCTACGCCAAAGGTGCCTCTCTTCGCCCAAAGGTATAAATCAGCATGACCAGAATGTCAAGACAAGGGGTTACCGAAAGTGTAACTGCGTCGCTGATTCAAGAGTGTTTCATAGTGTTCCACAAGAAAAAGCAAAATTCACCAGTATTCTGGGAAAACAAGAACAACGGGGTGATCGAGAAGGGAAAGATAGAAATTACAGGAAAACATTTTCATTTACCAAAAAGTTTCAATAGATTAAGGACATGTTTGTGTGAATAACAACAATACATTACTTTATGAAGCAGATGCTGCAAACATTTGCAAGTGCGTCTTAAGGTAAAATACGTAAGCTTAGAGCGTCAGATATCGATTTCAAATTAAAACCGGACTAGGAGTACGAGCAGTTTTGAATATAAAAATTATCATTTTTGAAAAGATTGATTAGTTGAAAGTTACAGGCTGAATTTCTATGATAGTTACCTCTGGAGCCAAAGTAACCCCTTCTAAGTAACCGAAATGGTAATGTGATCTTAGAGTAGCGTGCCCTTGTTTAAAAGGTTTTTTTTTTTTTTTTTATTTTTAACATTCAAAGAAGTCTCGAGGCTATTAAAAACCTGCAGCATGAAAGAAACAACGTATAAGCTATATCCAGATAAGAAGTGGGCATGTTGAGTACAAAAAGTGAGTCTTGTTTCCCTTCGACCCTTAAATTCCCCTCGACTTTGCCTTAAGGAGCATTGAGGTTTTCGGGGGAAAAAAAAACTCACTGTTCCCTTAGGCCAGTAATCAAGTGCTCAATATGTGATATGATGAGCGACGACGTGCCATCAGAAGGGTTGAAGGCGATAGTCTATGGAAATGAAAATGGTATTTCTAACGAATGAGTCTGCGAATAAGGCAGAAATAGATATTTTGTCGACACGAGATACGACAAGGCCTGGGCCTTAGGCCCGAGCATCATGGGTAATGATGCAGTGGTATATAAGGGAAAGTATAGCACGTGATGTCCATCTAGGCCTCAGAACCAACCGTTCAC